ATTTTGTTTCTGTATGTATATTTTTGACCCAGCAGATTTGGTGACATTTTCAGCAATAATAAATTTATGAAAGAACCAAATTTTATGACTGTTTTTTGTGACAAACATGTATGTGTTCCGATCACTCTATCACAGAAAAATAAGAGTTGTAGAACTTATTGAAAACTCAAGACAGCCATAACATTATGTTTTTTTACAAGTGTATGTAAACTTTTGACCACAACTGTATGTAATGTAATGTGTTTTGTTTTGTTTTTTAAAAAAGAGAAATGAATAAATAAAATCAAAAAAGGAAAAATTAACCTGACACAACCTGGATTTGAACCTGCAGTCTCAGGATTATGAGAATACAGACCTCTGATCTACGTGTTTAAAGTGTTCATTTAATTACATTTATAAAATAATTCATTTTTATTAGATAAAACTAAAGAGACAGGTCAAGACTTTTATAAAATGCTGTATTCATGTTTTTGTTTATTGCTTTTACTAAATCACATCAGACGGGTAAAATCTGGATCCCACCTGCTTTTCCTGCTCCTCCAGTGAGGCGTAGTACTTGGACCACCAGTCCAGCTCCTCCTTCTCAGGCTCCTCTTCCTCCAGCTCCTCCCCTCGAAGCTTATTCAGCTTCTTCAGTGGTGCCTTCAGGTGTTTGTTCATATCAACCAACAAGGATTCAGCGTGCACAGTCAGCATATATTTGTTGTTTGTTTGCAGGAGAAGAGTAATGTACTCACATTCACCATCTTTAAGGGGTTGATGGGAATCTTGGACTGCGTGACTGACAGGCCGCTGAGCCCGATACTCTGCACGGACGTCAGAGGGTTGATCTTCATTGAATTCTGCCTTACTGGACATAAAGTAAAAACCGTGTCTGTGATGAGCTTTGGGATCAGAAACACGTTGACGTCAGATCAGCGTTAATGATCAGAAGACAAAGATGAAAACAAAATAAAACAAGTCTACTCCCCACCTTTAATGACAGACTCAGATACTGAAGCTCTTACCCTTTGGTTTTGGCTCTTCTTCCTCCTCTGCCTCCCCCTCAAGCTCATGCGGTGCGTAGTCCATGAGGTTCTGGACCACATGGGACCCAACCAAAGCCAGCTGACCAAACGCCCGGTGCTCCACCACAAACACCGTCAGAGGAGGGTGGAGGTAGGACTGCTCCGGCAGCTCCTGGTTGGACCAAACGCAGAGCAGCCAAAGGTAAACACGTGGGTATTTGTTTTGTTCCACATCCAGTGCTGCCGGAGCCTCGTTTAACTGACCACGTCAATGTAGCGGACCACTTCTTTAAAGTTTGGGTTGGCCTTGTAGCTCTGGATCTCCTCGGACTCCAGCTGATTCCCCGCACACTCCACCCTCACCAGGGGACGCTCCACCTCGAACAGGTGCACCCGCCTCAGATCCCGCAGACCCCAGAACAGAACCTGAAGACACAAACAGAATGCTGACTCATCCTAAACGTGTCTATGTGTGCGTGTGGGGGCGGGTTTTTCCTTCAACGTGGAGAAAATTGTCCTAAAAAAAAAAGACTCGAGGAGACCGAAGTGCATCATGGGGACCACTACCCGGTCCCCATGGGTCCAAATGCAAATTACGGTATGGGGTTAGGTTTAGAACGTAGGTAGAGGTTAACGTCTAAAAATCACTGCTTTAAATGTTGACCAACACCTCAAGAGCTTGTCTGAGCTTGATGAGACATTTTCAAAATATAGCATTGACTCAGTTTTATGTCTTTTAGTATTGCTTCTCAAAGCCATTGATTCTTTGCCATTTATTTGTAAATAATAAATCAGATAACAGCAGTGATTCTCAACCCTGGTCCTCAAGGACTCCTTTCCTACATGTTTAGATGTTTCACTGCTTTGACACACCTGGTTTGAATGAATGAGTGATTAACAATCTTCTGAAGACCTGCTGAATAGCAGGGAAACAAGGAAAACATGCTGGATAGGGGTCCTTGAGGACCAGGGTTGGGAACCACTGCTATAAAGTCTAAAAATAAATGAATGGAAGTCAATGGAAGGTCCCCACGGGGTACAAGAACAAACGTGTGTGTGTGTGTGTGTGCGCGCGCGTGCGTGCGTGCGTGTATGTGTTTCCTTGTTTTTCCTACATCGTGGGGCCCAGTTTTAAGGAAAACGCAGCCTCGTGGGGTCCAGGTGCTCCGTGTGGGGCCCAAAGCCTGGGCCCCACAACTTCAGAGACTGATTTTGGGTGTGAGGATTGGGTTTAGGACCAAGGTTTGAATTGAGTTTAGATTAGTTTTAGGGTCAGGTAGGTTGTGAGGTTAGCCTTAGGGTTTGTKGTCAGGGTTAGGATATAAAATTACTAAAAAATGAATGGATGTCAATAGACGGGCCCCACAAGGATATAAAAACAAGTGTGTGTGAGTGTGTGTGTCCTTATTTTTGCTACTTGGTGGGGATGATTTTTCAGGAAAATGTAGTCTCGTGGGAAATGAATGCTCCTTGTGGGGACCAAAGTCCGGTCCCCACGACTTCGGAGGCTGATTTTGGGTGGAGGGGTTTGGTTTAGGACCAAGGGACTGGTATTCCCTACACTGTGGGATAGTTTTTTGGCATACACACCTATACTTGTGGGGACCTGACTGGTACTTATGGGGACCTAAATCTGGTCCTCAGAAGGGGAAACCTTGTTGGTGGGTCGGGGGTTAAGTTTAGGACCAAGGTGTGAATTGAGTTTAGGTTAGTTTTAGGGTCAGGTTAGGTTAGGGTTGGTGGTCAGGGCTAGGCTGTAGAAATGTAATGGAAGTCAATGCCAGGTCCCCATAAAGATATCTGTACCAGATTGTGGAGTTAGGCTATAAAATTTCCAAAAAATGAATGGAAGTCAATGGAAAGTCCCCACAAGAATAGAGATACATAGTAGGTGTGTGTGTGTGTGAGCGCGCCCTTGTTTTTGCTACTTGGTGGAGGTGATTTTTCAGGAAAATGCAGCCTTGTGGGGACCAAATGTGCCTTAATTTTAGGGGTAAATGGTCAGAGCTGGGATTTAAAATTTCCAAAAAAAAAAATGTATGGAAGTCAATGGAAAGTCCCCACAAGGATAGAGAGACATAGTAGGTGGGTGTGTGTGTGGAAGGGATTTACCTCGATCCTAAAGGTCTTCAGAACCGGTCGGACTCCCTCTGGGATGATGTAAGATCTCTGCTCCTCATCGTAGGTCAAGTCCTGAGGGTCCACGCTGATGGGGAGACGGGGCTGCGAGGAGGAGGGAACATCTCTTACTTAAGCTTGGTGTCATTTTTAAATATTGCTTTTGAGAGATTTGTCACATTTATTTTATTATGTTAACTTCAAAGGACTGTCAGCAGGAGTTACAGATGCTATGCTTTCAAATTAAACCTGAAAACACAGTCTGATGGACGTCACCTCTCCAAATCTGGAGTAGTCGAGCTCGATGAGCTCAAAGGCAGCCAGCAGCTCCCCGGCAGGAACCCTTCCCCTGTTGATGTCATAAAATCGCAGGCGGGGTTTTTCATAGAACTGCTCCACGGTTTTAAACTCCGGCTCAGCGAAGGCTCGACCCAGAGGCTTCGGAGCGCCCTGCACAAACAGGAAATGTACGCACAAATGTGCTACTTATTTATGAGAAGTGTTCCCCACCAGTTTATACGTCTTAGATTTGAATATCGGCGATGAAACTTTAATTATTGGGCTTTTTTTAAATAATAAATGACCATGTTGTCGTGGTCGTAGACGTTGATGATGATGAGGGGCGGGTCTTGTTGAAGCTGCTCTTTTGTTCCTTCCAGCAGAACCCTGTCAAACAACAAGCACTCGTTCCAGGAGGGGGAGAGGGTGTCCGACAACACCTGCACACAAACACACAGTCAGGTTACCCATCAGACTTTAAATCTCCATCAGTACATTGAACCCTTGAAGAAGTGATGGAAACTAGGAGGACGTACCCTGGTGACCTGGCACTGTGTCGAGAAGACCACCTTCGCAAAAGGATCCGACAGGCCGTCATCGTCTGCAGCCATCAGGCCACGCCCCTGATACAGGTGACACCGTAACTGGAAGTACCTGCTGTCTGCAGAGGGAGACGTGGAGGCTTCACTCTACCTGAACAGAATCAATAAATGTCTCCTGGAAGAGACCAGGTGACTCACCCTCACAGAACAGTCTGACGGGAAACGTCCTCCTCTCCCCCACAGGAAGAAGACTCCTCTGTGCTTCCTCCTCCTCCTCCTCGTACACAGGTGTAAACTCCTCTGGCAGGCTGTTGATGGCCTCTTTGCTGTACTTGACGGGACCGAGCCACAGGTAGACCTCCAGCTTTGCAAAGATCTCAGTTGCTGAATATCCCGGAGACTAGAGGAGAGAAATTTGTAGGGTTTGAACTTCAGAGCAAGCGGGAGCCAGGATAAAAGATGCTGCTCCTCCACGAAAAGAGTTAACTGAAGAGGTTCAGACGTCTGATTAGGATTTGGTTTTTGAACCTGTTGCTTTCAAGACTTAAAGGGATCTCTGATTAGTTGTAACATTAGACTTTATATGATAAACATACAGTTTAAAAGACTGTAAAAATACTGTAGGATGTTCAGTTTTTGTCATTTTTAAACTAAAAGTTTAAAAATATATTACACGGATGGGGCCATTTTATTTACAAGCAAAGCATTCTGGGTAAATGATGACATGGATAGGTCCTCGGTGCGAGGCTGCTAGCGAGCTATATCCACCCTGAAGGTTAATCTTGGACAATATCTGATGATCGACTCTTTTAAATGAAACCAGAGAGCGTTGACAGAGAGGAGAAGGTAGAAATGACTCAGCCTGGAACTGAAAATATGGATGAGGACCTCAGTTTAGCTTGTTTGTCGCACTAGCACCGAGGGCTAGCACAAAGGCTAACATGTTAAGCTGAGGTTCTTCTTCCATGAAGCAGCTCTGTTGTCCTCCATCYATATTTTCAGTTCCAGGCTGAGTCATTTCTACCTTCTCCTCTCTGTCAACGCTCTCTGGTTTCATTTAAAAGAGTCGATCMTCAGATATTGTCCAAGATTAACCTTCAGGGTGGATATAGCTCGCTAGCAGCCTCGCACCGATGACCTAGTTGATGTCATCATTTACCCAGAATGCTTTGCGTGTAAATAAAATGGCTCCATCCGTGTTAAAATATATTTAAAAAATTACAAATCTAAACAGCCTACAGTATTTTTACAGTCTTTATTTTACAGTTAAAATAAGTGTTTATCAAATAAAGTTTAATGTTACAACTAATCGTGGATCMCTTTAAGATAAATGYAATAAATRGACAAATAAATTACTACAATAAATTAAAATACATGCATTTATTYACAACCGTAGTGGCAAAACGTACAACAGCTTTCAGCATCATTTGTGACACTGATATGACTTTGAATATAGATCGAAAACCTTCATGTAGAGCGTGGTGATGCGGCCACAGTCCCGCCCCTTTTGATCCTCCACCAATGAGAAGAGGATGGAGTGGGCAGGGATCCTGACGTACGCCAGTCGCTTGTTTCCACAGAGCAACCAGAGGAAGGCGTCGGGGATGGTGCTCTGAGGCTGCAGGGAAAACACGTCAAACTTCAGTCAAACTGCTTGTTTGTTGCAAATAACCCTAAGATATCTGACCTCAGCAGCCAGGAGGCGGAGCTTCTTTAGAATTTTCCTGCTGTTCGTCAAGCGCTGTTGGGCGTTTTTTCTCGTCATTCTCCTCCTGGCCCTGACCGCCTGTCTGGCGACCAGGACCTGTAAAGAGTCAGACAGTCGGTCAGACAGTCGGTCAGACAGCGAGAGAGGACGAGGCAGGCAGGTTTAGACAACTCACCAAGTTCTTCTTAATGAACCCCTTCCTACATTTATCCAGGCTGTTGGGCCGAGACTGAGATCTCTTCTCTGAAAAAGCACTGAACTGTCTGAAAGGGTAGAGAATAAAAAAATAAAAAAAAACTAAAGGCTGATGAATCAAATAAAATTATTCTTTTAAGAAGACACTCACTTGCAGCTTGCGAGCAGTTCCAGCAGCACCTCAACCAAACGCTCCTTTGCTTTACTCTTCGGCCTCCTTAAGAGTCGTTCCACCTCATCGAGACCAATTTCCTGAAAAATCAAAATCAAGGAGATGGGTTTTTTTTAGCATCAAATAACTCATACAGTTTCAGTCCTGAGACATAAATTAAAAATAAAAAAGATTCTTCTGACCAGCCTGTCGGCCATCTTGCTCAGCCAGTTAGCCTGAAATAAACGAAAGCAGTGATCTTCAAACTGGCTCCAAACAAACAGACAAGGTTTTGGTTTCACTGAGGGAGGCTGGAGCTGAAGACACTGGAATGACCTGAAAAAATAAATAAATAAAAAAGACACGTAGAYGYTAATATAATAAATAAAAGGACATAYCATTGAACAATTGATCATTGATCATATACTTGTCGTATTCAGTGGGCTGAGGTCTCATGGCAGCAGACACGGATCTGTTCTCAGATTCAGGATTCTGCRCCGCCTCTCGGTCCAGCTCATCCTCCGACT